AGTTTTAAACTCTCTAATTAAGCAAAATACATAAATAAATTTATTATTCAGAAAAAAATTATATTTTAATACTGCCACTGATTTCCTCATATCATGTATTTTATTACTTACTCTAAAAAAATTATGAAAACATAGAAAAATTTCAATTTCTAGCTCAACTTTACAACCCTAGGACAAAAGAACCATGACATATTAGTCCATTTTCATATTTTTTCTCCACTGTTAGAGCCTAATGTTATTATCTAGTGACTGTAAAAACTAATGTTACAGCTAGGCCCCAGAAGGGGGAGGTTCTTGGGGTTTCTGTTAAGGAACCACTTAATTAGGCCTCATTATTATGATGATTTCAACAACAATAACAGCTTTAGCACCTACCATCCAATCTCCTGTTGTTCTAATAAGCATTTTAAGTCAAACTTTTTATCTGACCTGGTTTCATTTGTCAGAACTATCATTGAACAAAAAACTATTTCCAGTCTCAGATATATGAATCTCAACAAAGGGTAACTTAAAGATTTTTTAAAGAGTAGTTAAATTGCAAAAAAATCAGATTTTGTGAAAAAAAAAAATGTGTTAAAGAATTACTGTGTCACACAGAAATAACAAAAATCATATAAATATAAAATTATCATAAGATTTAAAATAATCTAAATTCACATTAAAAACAAAAAGAATTTAGGGAAAACAAAAAGAAATGAGAAGTAGGTTTCAGAAACTGGTGAAATTAGCAAAAATTTAAAAATAATTAAGATAAGCTTTGTGTTTAATCTCTATAGCAGTTTCACTTCCTTTTTATAACTTCAAATTTCATTATAAAATGCTAATACCCTTGACATATTTCCTTATTCCTTCCTAACTGCAAAGACAATATTTTAAAGTTACTTCCACAGAATGAGAATTTTATTAATCACATTATTTCACAGCTATTTTAAACTATTCACAAATGTAGTAAGTGTGTCACTTCTAAAACGCACTTATATTCCTAAGTCTAAAGCAGAAAGCTTTATTTTCAAACACAGTTTATCTTTATGAGAAACTTCAGGTTACACTGGAAATCTATTTGTCACCCTAGAAAATTAACAAAAGTTCCCTCAAAGCACTGTCCAGAATCCCATATCAAATGAGTTAGGTCACACTTTCTCAACTCATCTGGGGTGGAGGGGCTTTTTCTGAGTTCCTATAGGACAACAAATCCCAAGCCTAAGGAAGACTCCTAGTTCAGAATTTTTTTTGCCAAACATTTTTGGCCATAAGGCTATCTAATACATCAATAAAGATCACTTTTTTTTTTTTTTGTCAGAAAGTAAAAAACAAACAAACAAACCAGAAATTTCCATATATCTGGAATCTACAAATCTTTTTGTCTAGGAAAATTTTCTGTCTGTCATAGCCTATATATTTTCAGTGTTAAATATAATGTGTGAAACTACAAAAAAGAAATCCCTATATTATTAAAAAAAAAAAGCAAGGGTACGAAATAGCGTACAGGTAGTCTCCGACTTAAAACAGGGTTCTGTCCCAAAGACTCCATTGTAAATCAATTCTGACGTAAGTTGAATACTTTTCTTTTCTTAGTTTTCACTACTGTTGCTTTTTATCATAGCTATCTTTATAAACCTGATTTTTACTTGTCTTTGGAAGTTGGAAACATTACATATAAACTTGCAAACGTATTTTAATACATACATACATACATAAGATATGGTGTGTGGGGGGAGACAGACGGATGTAAAAAACGCCAATGCACACCAAGTCAGGGACTACCTGTTCACAGCATGCTACCCCTTGTGTGAAAAAATAGTATGCTTTATGTCTTGAGACTTAAGGACAATCTCAGAAGAAACAGGTAATATTCATTGCATCTCAGGAGGGGAACTAGGAGGCCAGAGGGCAAGAGTGGGAGGGACATGTCTTTTCACTGTATGCCCTTTCATAGTATTTGCTTTTTTTTTTTTAATGAGTGCCAGTACTGATTTTTAAAGGAAAAAAAAAAAAAAAGTTCAAAAAAGAAATTCCTGAGAGATGTCCTGTGAAATCCAATTTACTCAATAGTATTTAATAATCTACTTATATAATTTAGGTAGACAATAATCTGATGAAAAGAATCTGATTAAAAGCTTCAATGGAATATTAATCAGGTTATTTTAAGTTTATGGTTGTGTACAAATGTACATACACTCCAGACTATACCTGTTTTCAGAACCATCTGCACACATCCACCTAATGTTTCCAGCAAGCAAGTATGTAATTTCTAGAATGAGACAAATAAATGGTAGAGAGAAATGCTGAAGATCGTGGAATTTTTTTTCCCCAGAACTATCTACTTCCAATGAAGGAGTACTATGTGGCATATCAAGTGCCTAAGCAGTAAAAAGGTGACTCTGCAGAGAACCTCCAGGTATGATATAGTGCTCTTTTATATAAAGATGAGAGTCTTCCGGGTATAAATGTACTTGTAGCAGGACCCGATACGATTAAAAAATAACATAAGCAGTAACATGAGGTATAATGACTTAACGTGAATTGCTATCTTCAGCTACTGTGGACACAATTACATGAGATAAATAATAATCTAGGAAAAAATGTAACTAAACACTTCTCAGTTTGGAAAACTAATCAACATGAAGATTATGATAATGGGTTTCAACTCTAAAATATATGAACTTCAAAATATAATGATTCAAAAATAATTTTTATATTCACAGATGTAATAAGACAACTAATTTTACCTACCTATTTTCTCTGAGAACAGTTTGAAATGCAAAACTTTCTATTTTTTCTAATTTAAGATAACAAATACATGTAAGCAGTACAATTTGAATTGAACCCAAAACTTAAAAGCCAAATTGCAGTTTTCACAATGATAATAATAATTGCTAAATGCACACTTAAATGTTTCCTTCTTTACCGTTAACTTTAAAAGAGAGAAAGGCAAGCAGTTACAGTGTAGGCTCTAGCTCAAGTGTTTCACATTCAGGACAGACCTGTAAAAGTAGTATCATGTGAAAATGTAGCCATACTAGTTTTGCTAAGTCAGTGTCTGCAAACAATGTATTCTTGTATTTTATTCTTTTAATAATTCAAAATATTACTCTATAAACTTGCCTGGTTGTCATACTCTTCCCAAAGGTGACCCTACTGGTTTTCCACCGCATTAAAAAATTTTCTTTGCAAAACTACATGGAAATGGGCAAAACAATAAGAGCGAAACTATGGAGGACATTCCAGCCAAAGGGCTGAAACTAAATAGGAAAATAAATAGGTAATATTGTTCTTGTGTTCAAGACATATATTGTCAGGTTAACCTTATTTGTATTTCACACCCCTTTCCTCCTCCTCCTCCTCCTCCTCCTTCTTCTCTTTCTTCTTCTTTTTTATAAACAATAAAATCTTGCTTAAGAAAACATTCTCCTTATTTTGCTTTCTCTTGTCACCAATCTCCAAGAAAATGTCTCAAAAATTGCAATTTTACTTCCCATTACTTTTTTCTTTTTACTGCAAGATTGTTTTCCAATTTTAATCAATACTCTTTGTGCACTTCTTTTATCTTGTTCTTTGTCTTGTTCAGCATTTGGTGGAGCATTCACAACGTCTAAGTTTTTCTTTACTATGTAGATAAATTTCCAAATCAAGAGATGACGAACTTTTTAAAACAATTTGGTATATCTACGGTTTTATATTTTTCAAGAGAAACTACTGTTTTCACCTGATTTCTGCATCCATTTCATATTCTTTGAACAGGTTAAACTTGTTCAACAACTACTAAACATCAAACAGCTGGAAATATTTTCGATTTTTGTCTTTCTTTTTGATAGCGATGGAAGAATGAACCCTAAGTGGGATATTTACTTTCTTGAAAAGAAATGAAAGGAGGGAAGAAAGTAAAGGAAAAGGAAAGCAGTAAAGAACTTCACAGGTGCTAATTGAACAAGACACATTCTATCAAATAAAAATGTACCATCTTTTCCCTGTACAACTTTCATCCTCACAGAGTAAAAACAGAGTACTTACAAGTTAGCATCTATCTGGTCTATGTGTGTTTTCGCTCTTTGGAATTGGATAATTTGAGCTAATTTGAAAGTGCCCGTTTGGTTGCCCACAGAAAGATGCTTAGGTTCTACAGATGCATAAATTAGGAAGCCCTACAATGGCAAGAAACTGTCATTGTACCTCTTCTCTTTATGAGCTCTATGATGCTAGCAAAGAGTCTTTTTATTATTACTATTATTTTTAACACTTTAGCTGATGGAGTGGGTGAAGGGCTAGTCACTCATGAGAGCGATGTGAGCCCTGGGAACCGCTCCTCCCACCCCCAACATAGAATAACGTTCTCCTCCCCAGTTACACTGGACTTTGGAACAGAGTCAACCAAAAACCAAACCCACTGCTGTAGAGTCGTATCCGACTCATAGTGACCTCTCCTAGGCGGTATCACTATGGAAGTAGATTGCCCAACCTTCCTTCCGCGGAGTGGCTGGTGGGTTTGAACCACCAGCCTTCTGGTTAGCAGTCAAGTGCCTTAGGCACTACTACACTACTACCAGAGCTCCTTCATTTTAGGAAAATCAGGGACGCGATGGGGAGAAGAGCGGAGTCCTTCACTCTCAGCCTCGACGCCAGTCTTCGGAGTTTCTCTAGTGCTTGAGGGCTCGGGTAACTGCCTGGGATAGAGGCAGGAAGGATGGAGAAAGCCAAGGGGAATGATCTTCGAGAAACATCCAACTGACCGCTTTACATTTTTGCCTCCATTATGAGAAGAGGGGAGGCGAGAGAAAAGATGTCAATGACCATTGTTTGCTCGTTTGGGATGTTGCTCCGCCCCCCAAGTCTGTCGTAAACCCAGCGCCAGACTAAAATAAACCCCAGATCTCTGAGCTCCGAGTCTCGCCGCCGACTCCTCTTCACAAGCGCTGCCGTTGCGGCCGAGGTGGCGGCGAGAAGCGGCCGCCGCGTCGCGCCCGCGCCGGCCCCGGGCCCCCTACCTGGTGGTCCGCCGAGCCATGTCGTTAAGCCCAAAACACACAACGCCCTTTTCCGTGTCTGACATCCTGAGCCCCATCGAGGAGACCTTCAAGAAGTTCGGCGGCGCCATGGACGGCGCGCCGCCGGGACTGGGGACGCCCCTAGGGGCTGCAACCGCCGCCGCCTACCGCGCGCCTGCACCGGGCCCCGCATCTCAAGCGGCAGCGGTGGCGGGCATGCAGCCGCCACACGCCATGTCGGGCCACAACGCGGCAGCTGCTGCGGCGGCGGCGGCGGCAGCGGCGGCCGCCACCTACCACATGCCACCCGGCGTCTCTCAGTTCCCGCACGGGGCCATGGGCGGCTACTGCAACGGCGGCCTGGGCAACATGGGCGAGTTGCCCTCCTACACGGACGGTATGCTCGGCGGCGCGGCGGCCGCGGCCACCGGCTGGTATGGCGCCAACCCGGACCCACGCTATTCGTCAAGTGAGCGGGGAAGGAGCGTGGAGTTGAGGGCAGGCGGGCGGCGCGGGCTTTTCCCGCCACAACTCCAGGAGAGTGGGGAGGGGGCATTGGGACCCAGCCCGGGACGCGCGGAGCGTAATGGGACCCAGCCTGGGGTGTGCGCGGGGTCCTGGGACCTCGTCCAGGGCACCTGGGGGATTTTGGACCCTTGGGGTCCCTCAAGGTCCTGGAATCGGGCCCCGGGCGTGCTCAGGGTTCTGGGTCCTGGCCTGGGGCGTGCGGAGGGTCCTGGGACCTGGACTGAGGAGCGATGGGAGCGCTGGGCCTGTTGGACCAGTACGCGTAACCCTGAGGCCAGGGGCCCGGCAGCGTCGTGGCTGCAGCGAGTGTGAAGAGAGAGGGGCGGCAATGGGAGCGGGCTCCTGTCAGATCCCCTGCTCAGTGGCCGTCTCTCTTGGGCCCCATCCCCAGTCTCCAGGTTCATGGGGCCGTCGGGAAGCGTGAACGTGGCAGGCATGGGCTCGCTGACGGGCATCGCAGATGCAGCCAAGTCTCTGGCGCCGCTGCACGCGACAGCGCCGCGAAGGAAACGCCGCGTGCTCTTCTCTCAAGCGCAAGTCTATGAGCTGGAGCGGCGCTTCAAGCAGCAGAAATACCTATCAGCACCCGAACGCGAGCACCTGGCCAGTATGATACACTTGACGCCGACGCAGGTCAAAATCTGGTTCCAGAATCACCGCTACAAGATGAAGCGGCAGGCCAAGGACAAGGCAGCGCAGCAGCTGCAGCAGGAGGGAGGTCTGGGTCCCCCGCTGCCGCCGTCGCCGCGCCGCGTGGCCGTTCCTGTGCTGGTCAAGGACGGCAAGCCGTGCCAGAATGGCGCCGGCACGCCGACGCCGGGCCAAGCCCGCCAGCAGCCACCGGCCCCGACGCCAGCGCCCGAGCTCGAGGAGCTGTCACCCAGTCCTACAGCTCTTCACGGGCCCGGCAGCGGCCTGGCGGCCCTGGACTCTGCCGCGGGGGACTATGGCGGCGGCGTACTTGGCACTAACCTGCTCTATGGCAGGACGTGGTGACGGTGCAGGCCCTCCAGGGCGGAGTCCTGCCTGCGGGCCGAATGGTCTGAAAGAAACTTGGGGAGGACCGGTTGTGGGAACCGGGTGGAAGCTGACGATTCTGTAAATGATGATCAAAAACGAAGAGGCCTTGGAGAGGGGCAGGCTCTAAAGCTCTTGCTGAGGGTGAGGGACATTGACAGCCCCAGGGACAGAAAAATGTAACTTCACCCGACAAGGCTTTAAGTTGGTGGTTATGTGAAAAGCTGGCCACGTCTACGTCCACCGTGTGTGTTCCTAACTAAAGCTCTCTCAGAGTTTTAAAAGTTGGAAACTTTGTTGGTGTTTGTAGCTCTAAAAATCAACCCAGCCTGAATGATGACTCCTTTCTGAAGTGGAACTCATTTTGGCAGATTAATTTTCAAAGGCTCCTCCTTAAGTGCAATTTCATTAATGTTTGATTGAAAGTAAATTGAATTGCAGCTCAAGGTGGATCATGCATATAGCAGCATTACTGTACAGGAATTATTGCCATTTAGGTAATAAAGAAATGGAATAAAAATAATCACACTATTAGTTATATGGATAGATATCCCTTAAGTTTAATGCTGATTTCAAAATGTTTCGATCATTTGACAATTGTGTTTGTATATTATCTTCAACGGATTTGTTTTCTAAGATACTGCTCATCATAAGAGAGTTGTAAACTAATTTTTATATGGAATCTGGTCTCCCAAAATGAACTGATAAAATAAATGTGCCCCATCCTTCTGTAGATATATTATTTACCATATTTGAGGTATTTACTGCCTGGATTTGAATACCTTTGTAAAATACTAGGATGCTGTTATTAGGTGCCATAGAGTCAGTTTTGACTCATAGTGACCCCAGCAAACACTGTCCGGTTGTGTGCCATCATCACAATGTTTGAAAATTGCTAAAAGTGACATCATTAATCTATATTTGAAAACACAACAAGAAGAAAAAAGAAGATGATTTATTGAAATTGTAATCAGGGTTTAAAGAATAAGTAAAATATTCATAATTTTCACATCATATTTAGAACTTATCAGGAGGTTGAGCCTTGCTTTTGTTGGTGGTTTATTGTATGATGTATCTACTCTTTAATATAACCAATTTATATTTCCTTTGATTTAAATTGATATTTAAATATAACTTAAAAGAACCTTAAACACTTTTTTTCTAACAGCCAAGTAGTCATTTCTTTCTTATTGTATAGGTTTTTTTTTTTTTTTTTTGGTTTTTATGGTAGTGGACATGATGTGAAAACAGCTCAGTTTACTCATTATTTAAAACAATTATTGGAATATGAATACTAAAAGAAATCTGAAGAATATGAACTCATAAAATCGATGAAAAAGAAATAGTATGGATAAAGTGATTTATAAATTATCAAAACAAATAGTTTTCAGCTACCCCAAACCTCTTTTACATTTGTGATTAGAGAATTACATTTTGAAGGTGAAATATTTTATCTCACTTCATTGTTCTAGTTTGTGATTATGTAAACTGAATCCTAAGGAAAGTGTTTTAGAAGTTAAAATTCCATTTTCTCTAAATTGTATTTTTCTTAGTAATTTTTTTTTTTTGTAAATAATAATTCCAATCTCTTTCACAAGAAGAAAAAATTTAGGCAAGTGAGGAAAACACCCTTTATCAAAGGACTATGAATGCATTTTGGAAAATGAGATATAATTTTTAAAAGCATTTTATGTAAGAAGCAATAATTTGGGCAGAAAAATTGGTATAGAAATGGTTGCAATATTTTTACAGAAAATTCTCCCCAATTTTGTTTTTGCATATGGAATGACTTTAGAAATATGAACCAAGCTAGTGTATCTATAATTGACCTGCCAAGTTTCGAAATGCTTGAGTTTTTTTTCTGTTTGATTCCCTTATAGTAGTACCAATATTCTGAAATTTTACTTCCAGAGAATATGTTCTAAAAGGCCATATGGTTTGCTATTTTGTTTTTTACAACCTATAAAAATAATAATAGCTTTTGAACCAATGGCTCCAGGTAACACATTTTACAAAAACTAATCACAGAGAGGTTTTTTTTTTTTTTTTTTTCTCCTTGATCATTTATTTCCAGAACAAAGAACCCCTTAAACTGATTAAGTGAATTCATATCAAAAGTATGTGGTCATTAGGCAGAAACAATTTTCTTTATACAATATTTTCAGAAAGTGTATTGATGTAGGCTTTTTTTTTCTTTCAGTGTTCTGTTAAGTAGTAAAGGACCTAAGCCAGAAATAATTGCTGCAGAAGTCTTAACATTCTATACTCAGAGAAGTATGGAGTTTGTGTTTACACATCCTAAAATTAGGCAATTTGATTCCTGAAATGTTAAAATAGAAAATGTTTTTACTGTAGAATTCCAGGTTCTGATTAATACAAAACAAGTGCTTTTGTCTTCTTTTGCAATTAGTGCTTTGCAGATCTTTTATAAAAGCACAAACAGCCAGACTAGGTGAAACTCATTAACTGAAGAGGGAGATAAGTGTCTTCACAACCAAAAGAGAGGACTGGCCACAGGGTCTGAGTGGAACAAAGCCTTCTCAAAGTTTAGCAGAAGCCACAGCAAAACTTGGTTTCAAAAATGCTGACTCTGCATATCAGACATTTTTCTAAATGTTTTGGATTTTACAACAATCTGACTTACCTTTTCCAACTGAACACAGAAACCAAAACCCAGAATTAAAGTTGCAGAGAATGGAAGGGATTGCAGGTACTTTGCTGTAATCTGTCTTGGGATGTACTTGAAGTATTATGTGTGTGTGTGTAATTCTGAAGGGGATAAGGGTGTTTTATATATGGAAGGGTGAGGGTGAAACTCAGTTGTCTTATTTAGGGCTTTGCCTAGAACTAAAACCTAATGGGCAGACTTGCATCAACACAGATGCTGTGATCAGACTCCATTCTGCTAGCAACTCTTTATTTTCCATTTAAAGCAAATCAGAAACTCAATCCAGTTCACTAAATGTGAGCACCATAGGGTTTCCAAGGCTGTGATCTTTACAGAAGCAGTCTGCCACATCTTTGTCCTGCGGAGTGGCTGGTGGGCTCAAACTGCCAACCTTTCACTGAGTACTTAACCAGGGCTCCCCATCAACTGCACTGCATATTGATGATTTAGAAAGACATTCCAAATAAATTTATAAGCCCCAATGATATATAGAAAAGACTTATTGAATGGATTTTTGTGCAAGAGAGAAAATGATGCACTACTGTGGTGGCAACATAAATTTCCCATGCAGACGAAAAACCCTATTGTTAATTATTTGAGTCCAGTTTTTGAAACACTGCATTTCCATTTCAAATCCCACTGGGACAGAGAACTATAAAAATAAATAAATTTGTAAAAGTAATTTAATAGCCTTTTACTGCCAGTAAGAATTCGTGAACATCTGGGGAAGATACAGTGATGCCCAGAAGAACTGGGTAGGTGTCTACATCAGGTCAGGAGTTTACCTAGTAAGTATTGAGAAAACTTTATGATTTCAAGTCATTTTCATTGTTTTCAAGTTTATGGGTAATGGAAGTCTCTGAGTGAGGTTTTTTTGTTTGTTCTTGCTTGGCTGCATGCACTGAATGAAGTATCTTTTATTTCACTTTTTCAATCCCACCTAACCTCTTATGTCAGTGATTGTTTAGGTGACTTCTAATAAATATCTAGCCATTTGAATTGTTTAAGATATGGAAACTATCTCTGCAGTAGTGAAATAACTCTATTTCCACTTTACACACAAAAATTATAGCATGTTATCTCTTGCCTTTCATTCCACAAGTACGGTATTGGAAAACGCAGGCAACTTAACCCTGAATGGGAAGAAAGTACATAGGTAATTTGTTACTTTAGTAATTTGTCGACCCTTTCCTTCTTAGAAATAGCAGAGCAGTGCATCACCAGGAAGAGAACGTGGCAGAATCTCAGCTCCATTACCCGCTTGGGGTGGTCAGGAGGAGACACTGACAAGCAGAACCCCCCACTCTGCAGCCTGAGAACGAGGAACCAAAATTAAGTCTTCGGTGAATTAGACGCCTAGATTTAAAATTTCTAAGTATAGCTAATTTGGTATATTCATACCTCACAGTTTGAAACGGCAGAATCGGAGTATCGTTCTGAATTTTCTTACACGTTTGCATTTGTACAGGAAATTGAGATGAAACTGAGCAGGCATCCGTGCTACAGTACGGCATCCAGAGAACCGAGAGACGACTGCACAGTGCTCCAGGGTGGGACTTCAGGTCTCGGGGCTCCGGGGCGGGAGGCGGGGTCAGCGTCCGGGATGCGTGGGGCACACGGTGGGCGCGCAGGAGGGAGCTCCCGGCGCCGGCACACGCCCCACTAGCACCGAGGCCGCCTGGAAACTGGCTGGGCGCCTACCACCTTGACTCTGGAGAGCAATTTGTCTGTCTCCGCGATGCCGCCTCCAATCCCGCTCCTGGCGACAAAGTCGCCATGCCAGTTCAAGGCTCATTCGATGTCCCAAGTAGACCTTCAAAAACGGAGCTCTGGCCCCCTATCCACGGCTCAGCCTGGTCGGCTGCCGGCGGTTCTCTGTCGTCGCACAATTAACTTACCGGTCATTATTCCTAATTTCCCTTTCTAACACTAAGTGGCAAGCTAATACCAGTTTGGAGCAGGCTTTGTACTTTTAACACACGCCATTTGATCTTTAAAGGGTAGACAACTGCTCATTAAGGCCTGTTAGGCTGTCTTCAGGTACCACGATTTAAACAAAAAAACGTTAAAATGAGACTGTGAAAAAAATGTGCCCTGTTTAAAGATAATAGAATGGAGTACAATTAATTTAAACGGCCCTTTGGCTTTATTTTTGCATCAGAATATGTAGGGAGTATTTATAGCTTTAAATATTCTAGTTAAAGCTATAAAACTATGTACTTGTTGAAATAACCACATTTCTTTGGTAGATTCATACGTGGGGTCATGTAGAAAAAGAACAGGGAATAATGAAGAGCAAAAGAAGGCAAGC